CCTAAAACACTCAAAACATATGCTTGCAACATGCGTATATTGTCATTGCAATATATGCAACATTCCAGATCTATTTTAGCAACATACAGATGAAACACTTGAAACATTTATCTAAAACGTCTGAAACACTTAAAACATGGTGTTGCTGGCAGCCACGACCTACCTGATGAGGAACTACAGTAGTCAGCAAGCTCGGGTCAGGGGGACGTCGAGAACAACAGCCTAGCGCAGGCGCACTAGAGGCGACCTCCTCCTGGTGGCGCCGAAGTCATTGTGGCACGATGAACGCCATTGCCGCGATGACAGATGAGGTGATGGGGCGCGGAGCGAGATTGGGGCGGCGCTGGTGCGAGATGGGGCGCAGCGGAGGATGGCCATGGCGGCGAGGTAGAGTGGCTTCGGGCGGACAACACGCTGTGGCTGTGACGGGCAGATTACATGGTGGAGGCGGCCACTGTGAATGGACGGCTTGGTGGAAGCAGTTGCGACGAACGAAAGTGAGGAAATGTGTTCTGCAGGAGTTGAGAAGGCCGGAGGCCGGTTGCCTGGGCTGGTATGCAACGCCCTGACCTTATCATTATCGTAAGAGTAATAATATGCATGTACATTTAAGGGGAAGTAGAATAAAGTGCGTGTAAAATACTGGTGTTAAAAATTTATTCACTGAGCGCGTGTTTAGTTACCACCCAAAATCCAAAAAAGTGCTACAGTACCCATCACATCAAATCTTACGATATATGCATGAAGTATTAAAATATAGACGAAAAAAAACTAATTGCACAGTTTGGTTGGAAATTGCGAGACGAACGTTTTGAGCCTAATTAATCTATGATTGAACACTAATTACCAAATAAAAACAAAAGTGTTACAATAGCCCAAATTCCAAACTCCCCAAACTAAATACGGCGTGAAATGTTTAAACTTGCTATTTGGGTAGGGACAGGACAGGGAGTGCAAGGTTTCGTGATGGGCAAGTTGGGTCGCAAAAAGATTCGTGGTGGGCCCAGCTGTCACCGTGCCGCCTCATCTGTCCTGTCAATCACGCGCCGTCCCTTTCGGCTCAGCCCTTGTTTAGTTCCATGAATTTGGAATTTGGGGCTACTGTAGCACCTTCGTTTTTATTTGGCAATTAGTGTCCAAACATGGACTAATTAGGCTCAAAACGTTCGTCTCGCAATTTTCCACCAAACTGTACAATTAGTTTTTCTTTTCGTCTACATTTAATGCTCCATACATGGGCCGCAAACATTCGATGTGACAGGTACTGTAGCAACTTTTTGGATTTTGAACTTCAACTAAACACGGCGTCAATCTTCTTTTAATTGCGTGTACTAATCTTCTATTCATCTATCTCACCCATCAAATCACCTCCTCCATTTATAAACCAATCAATTAATTAATCCGAATGATTAAAATGTATAATGAATCAAAAACTAATCATGGTTGTTGGGTCGCCATGTGCCTCACTCTAGCAGTCTAGCTAGCTAGTAGGTAGTCCCCCACATATGGAGTAGTGAATGGACTGATAATAAATAAGTGGAGTGACATAAATTTATTATTAATGATTTATTCAAGTAATTTACAAATATGTGTAATTGTGGACTGCAATATTCTAATTGATGGCCCGACCAACATGGCAACATCACAGAGACTCCAATTTATACCATTAGTCACTATTTTCTACAAGAATATATTTATAAATGTGAATGAAATTTTGTGAGATTATGGCAGTGTTTTCTAATACGTGTCTACTAAACGGCATGCGAATTTCATGTTATTTTAAAGAACGTTACTACAGCACGAACGCGCAGTATCTAAGATCGATATCCGGATGCACATTCCATGTTATTAGGAAACTACTGTCCCCCGCTTTCCATTTTCAGTTGGCAGGCACCGCACCCTACTGCGCACTGGAAAAATAATGGGGAATCGACGTCTGAGGTGCTAACTTTACGTGCCTGATGTTCCTGTGACCCCACGTACTACGTAGCAGTATTATACGAGGCCAATCTCAATGAGAATTTCACAAAGTTTTATAGGCATTAATTACGTTGACATGACACTGTATTGATGAAGAGAGACGATGAAAACTTTATAGGAGTAGAGATAATTTTATAAGAATGAAACTCTTCTATACTGTTTTTAAAGTAGGGGTATGTTTGGAAACTGGGACATGAAATCTCCGCTGAGAAATCTCCGCTGAGACTGGCTTGATATCCTAACTGTACGGTGAGATCGTAAGGCAGCGAGGGCTGCGCATGCCACAGCACTAACGGGCACGCGTCCGAAATCTAGTATTTGGGTATTTTAAAGGTTACTGACAGGAAAATAAAGTTTTAATTTAACATGGCCTTTTATTTGTCTAGAATGTTAATCAACCATTGTACCAAATTCTAGCTACTACTCCAAATTCTAATTAAGATTAGAGAATTGTAATTAACTTTTTAAATGCAGTAGCTTATATAATTAACCAGAGTACTACTCCACACAGCCGGTACTCCTATACAAATGTTGATTATAATCTGGTACAACGCGGCTGGATAGAATATATGTCAATAATTTCTCTTCAATGGTAAATAAATGTAGCACACCTCGCCTAGATATATATATAGCTCGAATCTGTAACTACTGTTTGTTGGTATGATACTTTTTTATTCTACGGCGTTTCAACCTTAATATAATGCTGATTATTACATTGTTTCGTCACACTTAGACGGTGGAACTTTTTCAATACATCAATATATGATACAGCTAGTTACATTTATTGTTTTGTTATATTTTTCGCAAAAATAACTTTTGGATATGTATATCTGTATTGTTATGCCACCTCAATATCATGTAGGCATAGGTCAACTGAACACAACACATAAATCATAGTCATATACTACCTCAATCATACAAAAATAACGCAATTCTAGTTTTATCTTAAGTCAAACAATCTTAAGTTATAATCAACAATTATGACACTAAATAGATATACCATGACAAAATAATCAATTGAATCTAATGATACATACTTATTTGGTATTATCCCCATCCTAAAAATCATGTAATTCTAGCTTTATCCTTAGTAAGTTTATAGAAAAGAGTAACAACTTTTATAACACAAAATAGTTATACTACGAAAATATATTTCATGATAAATATAATAATAACATATATTTGGCATCATAAATATTGATATTTATTAAATAAACTTGACCAAACTCAAAATAGTTTTGCTCAATGCTATGCTAGAGTTGTATTCTTTCACAGACGGAGAAACTAGCATACATAAACATTTGATATACTTCTTATAATAAATTTTGTCAAGCTTTAAATGCTTTGACTAGGCATAAAACTAGATCGAATTGCATTATTCTTTCTAAGACAGAGATAGTGCTTGATTGTACATATTTTCACAGTAGAATAGTAATAAACCTTCTTTAAGGTAAAGTAGATTACAGTAATAATAAGCTAAGAACTACTAGAAACACAAACCATACGGATCGGCTAGCATCACTAGAATGGAATAGTACTGTATGCGCTGACCTAAATCATCGTGGGGAAAGTTAGCTATATATAGCTAGGTGTGGGTGTAGTATGCACGCATAATCAATGAAGCAGAGTGCCTTTATATTTAATTAGGATGGTATGGTTAATTTATTGTGTAAAAATATTGCAGCCGAGAGATAATGCCCGTACTCATATTATATAGAGCGCCGCTCGATCAGGACAAAAAAGGCAATTCGACGTCTAGGCCTCGTGCACTTTGCAAATTTTTTTCAATCCAATGAATAGTACCACTTTTGTCTTATTTGGCAAATATTATCCAATCGTGGACCAACTAGGCTCAAAAGATTCATCTCGTAATTTACAACTAAACTATGTAATTAGTTATTTTTTTTACCTACATTTAATACTCCATGCAAGCAGTTAAAAATTGATGTAATGGAGAGAGAGTGAAAAAACTTAGAATTTAGATGGCATCTAAACAAGGCCCTAATAAAAATATGAGATTCCGGCAGCTGTCAGTTAGTAAAGTAAATGGTCAGTATATGTATATGTTTGTGTGCACCGATGAAGTGATCAATACCAGGCACGGTAAGTCAAACTCTTTTTCTAGATGGAACCGTTACGCATCCCCGCTCCCCCGCCCCGCCTCGCCCCGTATGCCGCCTCACCCAGATCCGATCCGCCGCGCGCCCTGAACGCCAGGCGCGCGTCTGCATGGACTCCCCCCTGCGCTCGTCCTCCTCACCCCACTCAAGAAGGCGACGGTGGCCCCAGACCCACAGATCGAAGTTCGCCCCGGCGCCGCCCCGCCCGCCCAGACATCGCCCCCACCCCAGTTCCGCCGCCGCGCCGCGGCCCTGAAACGCCGGCACGCACGCGGACTCCCCACCATGCGCCCGTCCTCCTCACCCCACTCGCAGAAGGCGACTGGTGGCCCCTGACCACAGATCGAATCCGCCCCGGCGCTCCACCCCAGCGTCTCCTCCCGCCGCAAGGCCCCAAATCGCCATGTGGAACCGGATCTCCGACTCTGTGCACCATTGCTGCCGCGTCTGTCGCCGCTCACGCACGGCGGCCCCCGTTCCCTAGGTCACCGTGGGGCCGGAGCCCCGCCTCGTCGCAACCAATGCTGCTGCGGCCAGTGGGTACGACAAGACTGGAAGCACGTCGGGCAAGCACGTCAAGTTCACCTCGCCTCTCTGCAACCCCCCGATCAGAAGCTACTACTCCAATGCCGCTACGCCTACCAAATCCTACCTCAGTTCCGCTGTTGTGCGAAGTCCCGCAGCGCCCTTGCCACCGGGCATTCAATGCCCCACCTCTAGTCCGCAGCACCCGGCTTTGATGGTGTTTTCCTTTCCCGAGAGGGATGGCTCAGGGCCGTCACCGGTCCGCGGCAGCTGGCCGATGGGGCGCATTCACGCGCGCGCTTCACGTCAGAAGACGAAGACGGATGGTCATTGGTGCTCCCGAGACGCTGGTGGTGTCTCCCGGAGTTCAAAAGCATGGCGCATTCAACTCCTTCAACCACCCAGGTCACATCGGCGCGCCACCTCCACAGCGATGATCTGCATGGGCGTATGAGAGGTAAATACTTTCCACTGTCTTTCCCCTGGCCACAGCTGCGGCGGATTGCAGAGACCCGGTGCGGTGTTTCTCCTGTGGCCATTGGGGGCATAAAAGCTTTGTGTGCATGAGAAGGCATTCATCCTCCAGGAAGCAAGCTCCCACGCCCAAGACTGCTCCTCCACCACTCGACGACACCAACTTCCCGCCTCTGAGTGCGGCAGCGATGGCAAGGCTCGGGGACCCCACTGTCCGTCCTCTGGACACCTGCGCCGTAGCTTTCTCCGTCGACAACATGGACCAAGAACTCGACCGTCTCTCCATGCACGGCATGGTGGCATGGCTAGGGGGGAACCGGCCGGTGGTGGAGCCGGAGGTCATCAAGAGGGCCATCTGCCATCAGTTTCCAGTTCACTCGGAGGATGTCATCGTCGTTAGGCACGCCCCTGAGGACTTCTTCATCGACTTCAAGCACCGCCACCACCACGACGAGGCGGTGGCGCAGGGGACCTTCCCCTATCGCAACCTCGACATCCACACAAGGTCGTGGCAGCTGGTAACGCACGGCGACATCTGCGACCTCAAGTTCCGGGTGCGCCGGTGCCTGGAAGGCATCCTCCTTAACGCCTGGAATGAGAGCATCGCCAAGAGGGCTGTCGCCAGGGCCTGCGACCTTGACTACATCGAGAAGTCATCGCTGGACTGCACAGACACCAGGGCACTCTGTGTCTGGGCCTGGACGCACAATCCGTCCGACATTCCGAAGGTAACTTGGCTCACATTGTCCTGCAGGAAAGTAGAGTCCCACAGCGCGCAGCCCGTGCGCGGCCGTCGGGGACTCACCTTCAGGGTGCTGGTGCACTTCGACCTGGTGGAGGATCCTCCAGGTAGAGATGGATGGGCTGCTGCTCCTCGCGTGTACATGTGGGACTACGGGGTTGTTGATGGTGAAAGGACACCGCGTGACCGCCACGACCCTCCGCCTGCTGACTTCTGTGGCGGCCACCGCGACGACGACGACGACCGCCGTGGACGCCGGGAGCGCCAGGGCGACAACTGGTACTTGCGCCTTGCCCACAGCCTATCGCGGGCGCCCAAGGACCACGAGCGGGAGCGGTCGGAGTCGAGGCATGGTGGACGTTGGCACCGGAGCCCCGAAGACGGGGGTCGTCGTCGCCCTCTACACGACGTCGCTCCTTGCCATGGCGCCTGCCATTCTGCCCCAAGCGACACTGCTGGCCATGGCGTCAGCCTTTCTGCCCCAAGCGACGCTACTGGACGTGGGGCAGACACATGGTCTCGGCACCTGCTCGCCAAGCCCGCTGACTCTGGCTGCTAGGGAGAGGTTCAGCGTAGAACCAAAGGACGCGGCAGGGAACGAGCGCAACACCGAAGGCCGCACAAGCACGCGCGTTCGGAGCCGAGGACCACAACGACGCGCTCCAAGTCCCCATCACCGCGCCAGCGCTGCAAGTCGCCGGACTTCGACGGTGCCGGCAACAACCATCATCCATCACCAAGCCCTCCAAAGGTGGATGCTAATCAAAGTCATTTCAATAACCAGCCTTTCACTCCTTTGCCCGTTGCTTCCCCGCCCTAGAAGTCGAACGCCACACCTGATGCCGCAGCGCCGTCCACGTCCACACCATCGAGCGATTCATCCTCAGAGACGCTGACGACCATTGCGACTCCCTCTTGCCTGACTGAACTGCAGGGTCCTCCCATCACCGACCAAGAAAACGTGACACCACAATGATCACGCCTCGCTGCGGAGCGTCGCTTCCGCTAGGGGCGAGTCTACTCCAGGTGGCCATGTGTCCTCCCCCCACATCGGAAGCAGGCATAGCCGGCGGGAAGCACCTAGGTGGTTCATTTCCGCCCTGGCCTCGTCTACTCCAGACGCTGCGCCCGCAGAACGCCCACCAACTGCTCGCGCAATTGACACATGACAGATGGACTTCACCAGCAGCAACCGGGCCAGACCAGCCTGTCACACCAACACCGGAGGTACTCGCCGACGCTAGCCAAAACACAACGCACACTGCAGCGGCGGTGTCACAGTTCCTATTGGGGATCTCACAACCTCTGCCTCAGCCCATTTTGCAGGGTCCAGTGCGCCAGCCCAGCCCGCCACAGCGATGCAAGAGGCCACCGGTCCCGCCACGCAGGAGCGTGCGCATTGCGGCCAAGATCTGGCCGAGGGGGACACCCAGGCGAAGGCCAGACAAGTGCTCATGAAAAGGCTTGGCATCCTCGACGTCCAAGGCCTCAACCATGACGAGGCGATGCTGCGCTACTACAACCTCTTCAAGGGACCGCTCGACGACGACACTGTCAAGGCGCTGATGGCACTGTGTGGCCTCGATGCGTGGCAACGCTGCCCACCACCAGCGCCTAGACATCTAGTGTGTTGTAGGGGTAGGTTATTAGACGATGTTAATAATCATGCAACGCAACGGGAGCGCAGGGAGCTCCGCATATTTTGTGCTTGTCTAGCTATGGTGTTTGGGCGGGGCGACAGCGAGAGGCCTTCAGTCGTCTCCCCATCAAACTACTTGGACCCTCCATTTCTGAAGTTAGCTGTAGCTTTACCTCTGTGAGCAGCAGACTTTTGCTTTGTTTCGCTCTGTCGACGGACGGCTTTCAGATGTATCGGTGTTTCACCTTACAACTCTCTTGAATATATGCATCCATGTCATTAGCTTACTGCAAATTGCTAGTTCAGATGTGCTGGGTGGCGCCATTCTTGTCTCCTTCCTTAGAGCATTTTTAAAAAGGGACCACTTGGTTTCCTTATGGCACAATTGAATTGCAACATACTTAACTGGAACGTCAGGGGCTTGAATGATGGAGCAAGACAGGACTCCGTGCGTGAGTTAGTGAGAACCACTACTGCAACCGTTGTATGTCTATAGGAAACAAAGATGCAGGTGATGGATCATAATGTGGTACGTAGAATAGTTGGAGCGAAATTTGTAAACTCCTATACGGTGCTACCGGTGAAACAGACTTGAGGAGGCGTCTTCCTTGCAGTGAATGAAGACTTCTTTGACCTCTCCGACATTGTACTTACCTCAAACACCATAACCACGCAGATCAACATGAGGGCCGATGGAACAAGGTGGCAAATTATAGTGGTATACGGCCCGTAGGGAGAGGTAGCTAAACTTCAATTCCTCCAAGAATTGAAGAACATTCCACCGCTGGTCCACAATAGATGGCTTATCCTGGGAGACTTCAATCTCATCTACCAGGTGGAAGACAAAAACAATTCCAACCTAAACCGGCGCCTTATGGGGGCATTTAGAGCGACGATCGATCATTTGAGGCTCAAAGAAATCAAGCTAAATGGGCGCCACTTCACTTGGAGCAATCAACAGGACAACCCAACGCTCACTAGAATTGACAGGCTGCTATGTACCACCGAGTGGGACCTACTCTTCCCCGCGTGTTTCTTACACTCCCTCCCATCACTCATGTCGGACCATACCCCTCTGCTACTACAGGGAGAGCTTGACCACCACCACAACACGTTCTTCCGCTTTGAAAACTACTGGACTAAGATGGAAGGATTTCAAGACCTCATCCATAATTCTTGGAATAGGCTGGTCGCCTAGGCTCTTCCTATCAAACTCTTGCATATCAAAATGGCGCATGTGGCAAAAGCAATCAAGCGTTGGAAGAAAGACAAGATAGGGGATACGAGGGTACAACTCGCCATTGTGAAAGAAGTATTGTTGCAACTAGAAGCAGCCCAAGAGCATAGGGTGCTCACGGCCATGGAGCTTCACCTATGTCGCCGACTCAAATCCCACAGCACTGGGCTCGCTGCTATTGAAAAATCAAGAATCAGACAAAGATCGAGGCTAACTCACATCCGATGTGGAGATGCTAACACAAAATTCTTCCACAGTAGAGCCAATGCTCGACGGAGAAAGAATTACATACATTGTCTACATACGGATGGGGGAATCACGGTGGCCCACCAAGATAAAGAAAAGGTCATACACGATTATTTTAGAAACCACATTGGCTCCGCGGCACCGAGAGACTCCACAATCAACTGGCAAGCCCTAGGCTACAATCAACATGATCTTTCTGATCTAGAGGTGCCTTTCTCCCAGGATGAGATAAAAAACATTGTATACTCCATGCCTTCCGACAAAGCGCTGGGACCGGATGGCTTCACGGGTGCCTTCTTCAAAGCTTGTTGGGAAACCATTAAAGAGGATGTTATGGCAGCAATGAACAGCTTATTCACACTGAATGCCTAGGGTTTCGAATGGCTAAATTTGGCTTCCATTATCCTTCTACCCAAAAAAACGGATGCAACAAGAATTACTGACTTTAGACCCATCAGCCTAGTCCATGGCATTGCAACGATCTTCTCCAAAGTGTTAGCTAACAGACTTGCACCCTGACTCAACTCCCTTGTCTCGAACTGCCAGAGCGCATTTATAAAAAGGAGAAGCATCCACGACAATTTTCTGTACATCCAGAGCGCGGTCAAAAGACTACACAAGCAGAAGATTCCGGCTTTGTTCATGAAACTAGACATCCACAAAGCCTTTGATATGGTACACTGGGGGTACTTGCTTGAGACGATGTAGGCTCTAGGCTTCGGGCAGCGATGGCGGGAATGGATCTCTATCCTCCTACGTACATCCTCCTCGACACTCATGCTGAATGGGTGATAGGGGGCCACCTTTAGCCATGCCAGAGGCGTCCACCAGGGAGATCCGCTTTTGCCGATGATATTCATCCTAGCTATGGACCCACTTCAACGTCTGCTTGACCTAGCAACTCACTCAGTAGGTGGATAGGGATTCTCCCCCCTTACCAATCACGGTGGCTAAATGGAGAACCTCATTGTATGCAGATGATGCCGCCATTTTCATCATAGTCCCTCCTCAAGCTGTGTCCCCACAAAAGACGATGTGTAGAGTGTCAAAACCATCCCAGTGCAAGCGTTTGTCACATTCTCGGGACTCCATATTAATCTCTGTAAGAGCTCTATGCATCCAATTGGTTGTGGCAACATCGACCTAGACCAAGTTCTGTCACCTTTCACCGGTACTAGAGGGGGCTTCCCATGCAAATACTTGGGGCTACAACTCCATATTAGATCACTGCAAAGGATCCATGTGCAACCTCTCATAGACCGGATTGGGCACATGCTACCCAAATGGAAAGGAAGATGGGTTTTGAATAGAGAATAATAGTTGGGACACCTCACTCTTGTAACCTCTGATATCCTCTCCTCCATGCCAACCTACCACCGACAACAGTGTTTCCTCTTGCCGGGCTGGGCTAAGAAGAAGATAGACAAAATCAGGAGATCTTTCTTGTAGAAGGGGGAGGAGAATGCAAACGGCGGACACTGCCTAGTTAACTGGCAGACAGTTACTAGACCAAAAGACCTTGGCGGTTTAGGCATCCCTGACCTGGAGAGATTTGGGCGAGCTCTCCGGTTGCGATGGCTTTGGCAAGAATGGGTGGACGATTCCAAGCCTTGGAGCGGCTTGGAGCTCCCATGTTCTAATGATGACCACCTCCTCTTCAACTCCTCAATCATTATATCTTTGGGAGATGGTGCAAAGACAAAGTTTTGGCACCACAGTTGGCTGGATGGACAGGCTCCTAAGCATCTAGCCCCGAACTTGTTCCGGCTAGTCTCAAGGACAAACCAAATGGTGCAAAAAGAGCTACGGAACAACAATTGGATGCGTAAACTAGGGAGGAAAATCACCTCGGCTACCCACATAGAGGAGTTTGTATCCCTCTAGATACGTATATAGGATGTGCACCTTGAGCAGGGCGTCCAGGACACCATCACCTGGCGTTGGACCAATGATGGGAATTTCTCCACCCGCTCGGCATACAAAATCCAATTCAGAGGTTCGCTACCCCCTTCCGTGACGGATGACTGATTTGGAAAGCGCATGTGGAGAACAGATGCAAGATCTTGGGCTGGATATAAAATTTGGATTTTGGATCTTAGTGCAAGATAAAATTCTAATGGCTCATGGAACTCTACAAAAGAGAGGGTGGCACGCACCAACAACAATGTGTCATGTGCAACGGTCCCTTAGAAACAAGCCTCCACTTATGCCTTTGTTGCCCTTTTGCCAAGGCGGTTTGGGATCAAATCCTATCGTGGGAAAAGTTCACTCAACCGCAGGCGTGCAAAGCAACTCAGGTACACCCCACCCACATCAAGTCATGGTGGGAAGACGCGTCGTGGGAGAAAGTGCCAAGATCTGCGAGCGGAGGCGGCTCAAGCGGAGGGTAGTTATCTACACCTTCTGGAATATATGGAAGGAGAGAAATAGGAGAATT